ACACTCCTTTGTTTAAAAAAAAATATTTAAAAACGTTCTTCAACTCTTCAGTTTTCCTCGCTCCTTCTTTATAATTTCCTCCATTCCAAGCCATTAAAAGTCTGTCTGTATTATAAATCGATAGACGCGTGACCTTTGCGTAAAGGCCAAGCAGAAGCTGGGTTTTGACAAGCTTACAAATTGACACTCATTTCATAAAATGGGAATTTTGCTGCAATTGGAGCAGTCCTCTGCTGTTGTACCTGGTAGACATGATTTATTAATAGTAACAAAACTGCACTTCCGTCTTAACAGTCGTGTTGCCAAATTGGCACTTTTTACTACTTCATGTAATTGGAACTATTTTGTTGTTGTTGTTGTTTGCTTGTTTTTTTTTTTTGGGGGGGGTATCAGCCAGAAACAACTACCCTACATTCTGATTTTGTTATTCCCTAACTCGACAGCACTGGCGCCTCTGTCGAAATAATTAGGCTCTTAGCCGTCGCACCAAGAAAGCCCGAGTTCGATTGTCGAGTGCAGACGTGTTATACCTACCGACTATCTCGGTCTATCTGCTGCAGTTCTGTATCCCACTTACCCTATATAGGCCGTGACAGATGGACAGACAGACAGAGAGTCAGACAAACGGTTAGATAGATAGATAGATAGATAGATAGATAGATAGATAGATAGATAGATAGATAGATAGATAGATAGATAGATTGACTTCCTAAATCAAACATGAAAATTGTCATTAGGGTACATAACATTAATCATAAAAAAAACTTTTCTGACTGCACACATTATCTTTATTTTGTTTTTGCCTGCTTTTCTATTGCTTTTTTCTTTTACCAGTTCTGTACGAGTTGCTCCCGCTGTTCTTCCTCTACGTCTTTGTGAAGGCTGATCATGATACAACTACAACTGATGCAGTGACCCGTCTCCAGTGCAGACTAGCCAGGATTAAATTGATCTAAGGCTTTAATAGAATAATATGTATCGATAGCATTGTTGCTGACAGCAACGCAAAAAAATCTTTACAGAAGAACTCTGAAGTACTTGAACCTATTACAAGGGGGGATGGCGAAACGAAAATGGGGGT